GAGCCACTCACAGTGCTTGAGACTACAAAGCTCCTAAGCACCGGTCGCTGTCATTGGGTGCATTCAGCAGAAAAGAGCGCTACTAGAGCGCTCGCTGTTATTGGTGTATTCTTCCAGATCTAAAATTCTAATTGGATGATTTAAAAGAATACACCAATAACAGCGAGCGCTCTAGTAGCGCTCTTTTCTGCTGAATGCACCCAATAATATCATTCCAACTCGCTGCAGTGCTACGTATACGTAAGATCTGTTCTTTTTCGAAGAATTCTGAAATAGTGCAATAAGTTAGAGTAAGGCAGTTGTAGTTTGGACTCATCTGATTGGTCTATATTTTAGGATCTAGTGGAATATTCCAATCAAATGAAAAAGCTCACTAAGCGATCAGTAAACAGTTGTTGTTCTGGAATGCATACTTCTCTGCTATAGTCTGATTTAATTGTAATAAGTAAAATGGCATATTCAATAGAGCACTGAATAAAAATCCTTGGCTTGCTGTCCATGATGTAGTTGGATATGCAAAATTGTGGCCGAGGGGTTTATATTACATTTAAAAAAGCGTATACAAAATATTGGAAACGCGCGATTCATTACAGGTTTAATTATTTAAATCATGAGGTAATATCATTCATTTTAATTAACGAATTAAATAATACATAATGAAACATTTGTAATATTTTGTAAAATTTATAGGAATTTGGATGACAACGACGAAGTCGTGTTTATAGCTATGTATTTCAAAGAAATGTTAGATTTAAATTTTAATCCACATAAGAAAAATCGAAGAGATGTACATTTTAAATAATAAGCTGTATTCTATGCTTTAAAAACACAAAAGCACTGCTTTAAAAACAATTCACTGCTTAAAAACAACAATTCACTGCTTCAAAAACGACAATTCACTACTTTAAAAATAATTCACTGCTTTAAAAACAATTCACTGTTTTAAAAACAATTCACTGCTTAAAGAACAATTTACTACTTCAAAAACAATTCACTGCTTTAAAAATACAAATTTACTGCTAATGCAAAGAATTTGTATGTTTAAAATAATGTATTGTTGTTTTTAAGGCAGTGAATTGTTTTTAAAACAGTGAATTATTATTTTTAAAGCAGTGAATTGTTGTTTTGTTAGTGCTTCACTTATTTTAAATTTCGAAAAATAATATAGCCACATCGCGCATGCGCATCAAACTAAAGTACGGGTCTGTTGCTTTTTCTAAGTTCTGAACTGGAGTACATTAGTACTATATAGGCCTGTTCTTTTTGGCTGAACTTTTGCACCAGTTCATCTTTCTTCCTCTACTTTCCTTCCGGATAGAAAAGGAAAAAAGATGAACTGGTGCAAAAGTTCAGCCAAAAAGAACAGGCCTCATGTTAGCCCGGATCGTCATATGGGCAACAGCGCTTTGACACAGAGCTCTGATTGGTGAAAAGCCGGTTGTGGGGGTAAAATTTACCTTCATCGTCCGTTTTTTACCAATCAGCGTTCGGTGTCAAAGCCCTGTTGCCTGTATGAGGATCCGGG